ACTTTACAGAGGGAGGCACAAAAAGCAAAACTCAGGCAAACGTCGCACACAAGTCGGTCATCTCCTCACCGACCTCTTCCCCGGAAATCGTCTCTGCACTGTTACTATCGGCAGGGTTTTACCCCATACCTCAAACACAGCTCAACCGTCGCGAGCGCGGTACCGAGGTCCCGGCAAGGCATTTGCCCTTTCCTCTTTACCCAGAATACCCCATCCCGACTTGCTGCTCGTGTACCCACCGTTAATCTCAGGAATCACCCCGCACATCTCGGTAAGGCAATTGGAGCCGGCCGTCCAGGCATTCACTTCCATCGGTCCGACAAGAATCAACTTTTTCCAAGCCATGCTACGAGAAACTTTTAATCGCCTCCGAGGCTCCTTCCTTGCCCCATATGTAGTGGTCCCCCTGCCGTCTGCCGACAAGCAGCCGCCCCACCTGAAGACGTTTCACACCCCACCTGGGCAAGATCATCGAGCCATGCTCGGACCGCTCGGGTGAGAATGCTACTAATCAGCCGATGATTGCCTTACAGCCCGGTGACCTGACCCCCACACACGGAACCTGGTGAACTTCAAAGAGGACGACTATTCCGCATCCCTCACCGACCGGCGCAAAACAATCCTTTCCTTCCGAAAGGCAGGACGCTCGAATCCCCATCATGCAAACACAAGCCCCAAGGTGGGACACACAAAACACAAGTGTCTTTCCCCAGGTGCACCCAGCGCTTCCTACCCGTTGCTCACAGGTTTTCACTCAGGACAGTGCGTGCCACTCACCCCTAACTTACATACACAGTGCCCGGGTCCTTTTCGTGAGCATCTTCAAAGGGGAGCTAGTTTTTCTTGGAGTCTAGCAACTCCCTTCATTCCCTTATCTTTGCTTGTGTGTCCGTTCATAGTGCAGGATTGTTCCTTCTCGATTACCGTTTTATGTTCATATGAGGTTCCTTCAAGCATTTAAGTGCGGTGCACGGAGCCCGCTAGGCAGCGAAGAGGAGAAGAGAAGCACCCAGGTCGGTCGGGTCACTCCGCCGSGGGATTTTTATTGGAACCCGGACTGGCCCGGAATCCCAACCGCCTGCCAGGTAACCGGAACCCTTCTTTCATACGAAGAGGAAGGGTCGACCTGCGGCTTGCCCAAGGCTTCCTCGGCCTGACGAAYATCAGTCCAAGGGAAGGAGGACTAGAGTCATCTCCAAARGAGATGACTGATCAGAAAGTGCAAGCATGCATGTTCTTCCTCCAGGCTTGGCCTTGCCATGCGCCCAACCACCCTCAAATCTGACTCTCTCAAAGGATAGAGCATACACAAGTTCTCATTCTTTGTCTTTAGTTATGTACACGGTTATACGTCGAGCGCCCCCCCTCGAGATCGTCAGGGTCAATTTAACCCACTATCCGGCACCTCCACCATTTTTGTAGGGGCCGTACCCTGAAGGACTTTCGAGCCTCGGTCGACCCCACTGCGGGTCCCATTTGGCTCGACCCGCCCACACTCACGCTCAGGGCGCGGGTCGTTTGTCCCAGGGGCATCCCCACCTAGTGCTTTGATATGGATGGGGATGRACCTTTTACGAGAGGGCTTTACATTGGGGGATGTAGCTCCGCTCTCGCGTCAAGATGGTAGCTCTTTGGCCACTCGTGACGTTTTTTTGATTCGATTAAGTCTGGCCAGGCAATTGCTCCTTCCAATACGCAAGCGGTCCAAAGAGTTTATTGAAGTTTTGTCTTCTTATCATGTGCACGCCAAGCATCATCCATTGGGCGACGCACCTTTTCACTAAGTCTAGTGGCTCAGGACAGCCCCTACGGCATCCTTGGGGAAGGGTGGCATCGCCCGGACCCCTAGCCGCTATATTTTTTTTGCTTGAGCCACCAACATTGCATTCACCKTATCCACGATTGCTCTTAGTCCTCCCAGGCTTGCATTGCATTCAATCATCACACAAGCCCMCATCCTGGCGTCTACCACTCATTCAAGCATCCGACCATCCAACCCATCCTSCATTCATAGTTTAAGCGGGGTCTAAGTCCTTCTCTCGTCGCTTTCCCTATTCCCGCTCACATCCGGCGGACGCAGTCCCGCTCAGACCACCCTAGGCTACTCACCTGCGCAAGACCACACAAAGCAAAAGCCAGGTACAATCCCCATTGGGGTCAACACATCACCCCTCCCACAAGCCTAAGTTCCTTTTGCCTTTGATGATCCCTTGGTTATCTTTCCTTTCACTAAAGCAAGCCATGCCTTCACCTTAGTCATGCAGTCGGGGAAGATGGTTGAGTCAAACTTACCTCGTCCAAAATCAGCGCTCCTTTTTGCTTCTGCAATTGCTCTCAATAGTTTCGTATCCTTCCCTTGTTGGTGGCACAAGTGACCAATTGCCCTTCCCTTGCCCTCGCTTTCCACCAAGTGAGGACTAAGTTCCTTCCTGTTCGTTCCCTGGSAATGTAACAGAGGAGGGTGGGGGTCAGTCACATGCCATGGGGGGGGGGAAGGGGTGACGGAAGGGTTACGGGTTAAAGAGTTTAGAAGGAATGGAGGAAGGCGAAGGGAGAGGAAGAGAGAGAGAGAGAGAGAGAGAGAGAGAGAGAGAGAGAGAGAGAGAGAAGCTTCACATCCTAATGGACCTTGCTCATTGACTTACGCTAACCGATTCTGTTCGGAGTTTCGTGCACCCCCTTGCGGCCCCTTAAGGCTCTAGAATGGACGGGGGAGGTGATAAGCGAGGGAGCGTTGGGATGTCCGGCTATGGTGGATGGATGTAGGCGATGGAGGTTGAAGAGGTGTTGGGGTGTCCGGCTATGGTCCATGAGTGTAGGTGATGGAGGTTGAAGAAGGGTTGGGGTGTCCAGCTATGGCGGATGGGTGTAGGTGATGGAGGTTGAAGAAGGGTCGGGGCGTCTGACTATGGTGGATGGGTGTGGGCGATGGAGGCTGAAGAAGGGTTGGGGCGTCCGGCTATGGTGGAAGGGTGTAGGCGATAGAGGTTGAAGAGGGGATGGGGTGTCCGGCTATGGTGGACGGGTGTAGGTGATGGAGGTTGAAGAAGGGTTAGGGCGTCCGGCTATAATGGATGGGTGTAGTTGATAGAGGTTGAAGAGGGGTTGGGGTGTCCGGCTGTGGTGGACAGGTGTAGGTGATGGACGTTGAAGAAGGGTTGGCGCGTCCGACTATGGTGGATGCATCTAGATGACGGAGGTTGAAGAAGGGTTGGGGTGTCCGGCTATGGTGGATGGGTGTAGGTGATGGAGATTGAAAAAGGGTTGGGGTGTCCGRCTATGGTGGATGGGTGTAGGTGATGGAGGTTGAAGAAGGGTTGGGGTGTTCGACTATGGTGGATGGGTGTAGGTGATGGAGGTTGAAGAAGGGTTGGGGTGTTCGGCTATGGTGGATAGGTGTAGGTGATGGCTCGCTTGTCCTGTGGTCCGCGACYGATCCTATTCTACCGCCCAACTCCCTACCCCTTATGTCTTTYTCGTAGGTCGTTGGTCTTGACCGCACATGCCCCCCCTCTTGCCATAGTGAAGGCAAACTTTTCAGAACCGTAGATTCCCAAGAGAGGAAGCAACAAGAAGTGATCCGTCGACACTTTCCCAAGCAACTAGAGCCGCAAAACGACAATGTGATCAACACCCTACCCGGGGATTGAACAGCGAAGCACCACTGGGTGGGCAGCACCCTACTCATGTACATAGAACARCAAACTGACAATGTGAACAGCACCCCACCGCGGAGGGTGAACAGGGAAGCACCACAGGGTGAATAGCAACCT